GTTCCATATAAATACCACTAGTGCAAGGGCATAACGAAGTTAAATTTCCAAGTTTAGTATATAAATATTTTCAACACGCATTGTAGTTTCTAAAAAGTGCTGCGATCCTGTCTAAATTCTGCACTTTCATTGTGAAAATTATACTTGTATGACCGGATGCTATATTTTTCGCTGGTCAGCGACATGAAATATTGATATAATTAAATTGTTTTTAAGATTTCATCAGGATCGCAGCACTTTTCAGATACCTTAATAGTTTTATAATTGAAATGTAAAAGCTTACTTTGATCCATAGAGTATGCCCTTGCACTAGATCGATTTATTAAGACCCCCACATTACCCTCCGATGTACTTGCATACAACTATACAGCAGTGTCAATTTAATACGTAATGTACAGAAAATATATTAATAAAGTAGTGAAGGAGACATTAAATTCAAGTTATTGGCCCATAGAATATCTGTAAATAATATTTTATTTAATTAGAGAATACATATTTTGTTGAGAAAATATTACTTGATCTGTCTCTCACTGCATACAAACTACGTCACGATGTAAGAAATGACGTCATATTGACAAGTGTATTGCGATCAGTGACTTGTTTATAACTTGTTATGTGGAAATTAACTATTGACAAAACAACACGCTGTAGTAAATTTTTATGTAGTTTGATTATTTCTCACTGGTTAAATTAGCAGATAAACTCATTTTGTGTTATTTTATAGAAATGTTGTATGCCGTATATTACGTATGATGTCATAGTCAAGTTTTCCCGTACAAATTAAGCTCCGCCTCCTACTTGTAACCTTAACTGTGCTGCATACTAACTTGCAGGTGTAAAATGTTTGAAACAGTTTGCTTGTCCCAAAGGAAATTCTCTGCCAGTTAGCAGTGGCATGAGCAGTTAATTGATGTCACAGTTCCACCGGCAAAGTATTTGTAACTGAATGGTGCCATATAAAACACTTTTCACAAGAACCTGGAAAACATCCTAGAAGTGAGCATCTACAAGAAATTAAGTGAATACTTTCTTGAATATTATCAGTGTTATAAAATGCTTGTGTACGTACTTTATATATACAACTAATTACGCATGTAACTACCAAATATACAAATTAAACTTCCTTAAATTTGTTCTTAAGTTTATTTATAGTGTATTAGAATAAGCATGCAATATTTGTCTTGTTATACTGAAGGATTCAATGTTAAGAAAATGCCGTTCATTGAAAAAATGTGCAAACAGTCTGCACAGTTAGCAATTTTTATTGAGAATCTCTCAACGTGCATTTTCAATCGTTGGGATTTAATGACAGGCACACAGTAGGAGAATTGTACTTGTTAATAAATGTTTTTTACCGATCAAATTTCAAATTGATATTTTAATAAGAAAGCATATGAAAAATTTAACTAGCATTATTGTCCATTGATTTACCATGGTGTTCGAGCTTTTGTGGACTTGATACTGAACTAGTAAGTTTGAAATATTGAAGTAAAGAAAAGTGCAGCCAATAAATTTATCCTGTACCTGATTTAAAATGAGTGCCATCATTAACTTTTTGGAAGTTGCCATACTCTTCATGAGTAAAAGAATTATTGGATATGCCTCATTAACAGATCTATACTGGTACATGGATGGCACATTCAGTTGTAGCATTGTCCCTTTTTCAGTATCTCCTGGATCCCTGTAAAATATAATGACAAATGTAGATAAAATGTTCTAACGTTGAATGATGAATGTCCTATGGATCCAGTGCGGGTCTGTTCAGTGTTGGGAGACACCGTTAGATTGTTCTAGCTGTGACAAATAAGAAAATTCCAATCATATTTCTAATGCCTATTTTCAGAAAAATAAAAAGTCTTTCTCATAATTGTAAGAGTATTTGGGAAGGGGGTCATAAGGCTTTACAGTTAACATATTGATCGTAAAAGTAATATGTTGTTTAACGTCCTACAGTTAATATTGAAAGTGAATATATACATCCCTGTGTAAATGAAAGAAGTAATGTCGGACGTTTTCATTTTTTGATTATTAATAAATTAATAAAGAACATTAATTCTATCAGGGTTATGTTTAATCGACGTAGTAATCAACCCTGTATTCCCTTGATCGATGAATATGGGTACATGTATTTCCTATTTGTTTTTATTGACTTTGCATTCCGACCTCAGCTGTCCCGTGAGCTAAATAAATGAAATAAATATAATATGGAACCAATCTTTGGGGGAACTTTTTGGTTTGAAAACCTGCTATTTCCGCTTAAAACAATAAAGCAATTAAACGTTGTTTACCTGTATCAATCAATCCACTTGTTCCTTTTTTTTTCAATAATCAGAAAACGAACGACTTCACATATTGTTACATTACTTCCTGTTTCGCTTTCGTTTTCAACGGGAGAATCAATTATTTTATTTTAAGGGTTGTTGGAAAAGAGATATCTGTTTAGCTTAGAAAGATATCTCTTTTTGAAAATCTAAAGAGATATCTCTCTAATTAAGAGAGATATCTCTTTTAAACTTGTTAAAGAGATATCTCTCTAACTTTTAGAGATATCTCTCTCGCTTAAAGAGATATCTCTCAAGCTTATAAAGATATCTCTCTATCTCTCTTTCGAAAAGAGATATCTTTCTTGTTTAAAGAGATATCTCTTTTAATGAAAGAGATATCTCTATAAAGTATAAAGATATCTCTATAAGTCATAGAGATATCTCTATAAGCTAAAGAGATATCTCCATAAGTTAAAGAGATATCTCTCTATGCTAGAGAGATATCTCTCATATTGAAAGAAAAAATTATTTTACGTATAAATAGTAAAAGGGCTTGCCATACATATCTGCAGTCTTCAGATCTCCAGTTTTGGTATTAAACTCATAGCTCATGCAAACAGTTGAAAGAATGTAAGGTTTCTATTGCAGATATATTTGAAATTTCCTTTCTATCGTAAGTCTTCCATCTTCTGTCTTCAAAATAGTCTGTGAAAAACTGTAAATTCTTTGACATTTTGATAACTAACACTTCTTTCACCAGTACATGTAATATTACTTGACAGAGCTTCTATACCAAAACGTGGGAAAATCAGAATTACAAATTTTCTAACGTTGTCTACAGAAAAGAATGTCATCTGTGTGGAATTGTTTGTGTTAGTGAAACCAAGGGATCACTGAAAGAATATCAGGTCATCCATTTCGAATAAATCACGGGGTTCAGCAGCTTTCATACAAACATTTACCCGATTATTCTATTTTTTCAATGAAAGTTAGAATTCTCGAAAAGATTTATCATAACACAAACTGTCCATCACTGAGTACATCTTTCCGTAGACAGCGAAAATTTTGGATTAGAAAACTAGCGACAGCCTTTCCCTGTGAATGTAATGACATCGTCAATAGTATTAGAAATCTTTCCAGTCCACAGTGTAACAATGTAAATGTGACTTTTTAATCATACACGGGGAAATACGCGTAGTCATGGATATCGGTCTTACAATAAACCTTTAATACACATTATCCGTTTTGATTCATTACTACCTTATGTTATTCAAGAGTGAGTCTCCTTCATATTCGCGTCAAACTTTACTCTGTCCCTTTGAAACTTTTAAACAGTCCTCTTGAAAAGGTAAAGGAAAGCCCATTTTTTGATTTCTCGACACCAGAAATAGGCTTGGATCTGTGATTATGGATATTGCAAATCATAGGCTTTTTAAAACCGCACGTTTTACTGAAGAAAATGCAGCTAAAACAATCCGTCTTTCCTTAAACTTCAATATGCCAATAAAAGAATTGACGCGGTTAACATAACTAATATTCTAAATCACAATAGGGTCCAGTCTTGTATTCCATCATATTTCAAGTTGAAGACTACACCTTGTATTTCCTACAAATATACATCGACTATTGCTTCCAAACTTTTTAATTACTAAGACGTTGACACTTTCTCAGAATGGAATAAATGTATCAGATTCATGTTAAAATCGCGTATTAAAAGATTGAGAGACAAAATGAAAACCATCTATCCTTCTGCATTCAATAATCCAGAAGTTAAAAAAAGAATTGCTTCAGATAAATGATACCACAGAGTCTGACACATTTGTTTCATATTTGATCTTTTATTGATCTTGAATACTGTTTGGTATCTCCATATGTTTTCCTTTATGCATGATTATTTTTATCTAATTCAAGATTCAGTATTTTAAAAACAAATGAATCCACCTAGCTAGAGAATGGATGTATTTGAATAATGTGATTGTGCACGTGCACGTGGTTCTTAGGGCTTCCAAAATTTATTTTTATAAAATTAAGTCTTAAGTTAAACTTCAATGCCATATTGTCATTTACCTGGGACCATATATATAGAACAATTTAGTTTGAACTCATATCAGGAACCTTAAATGTAATCAAGTGACCTCTCATTCGACCCATCTGTTCTTGAGGAAAAGATTTAAGATTTTTTTCCTTATTTCTGTGTACAAATTTGACCACCTGTTGAGGTCACACTCTGCTATATTCGTTTGAAAACTTAGTTTGAACAATTTATAATCTGAAGTACACAGGAAGCTTTCAAATGCCTTTCACCTCCTCTGGCTAAATGATTCTTGAGAAATTTTTTCATGACTCGTCTTTTTTATAATAAAATCTCTTTGGAATGGGACTTGATCCTTCATTTGAATAATTCAGAGTTTCCTTACCCCTGGATATTTTGTACCGTTGTGGTTTTTGAGAACAAGTCAAAAATGTAACTACTTTACTGAAATACAGACTGACAGACAGAAAAGCTGTCAGTAAACAGCTAAACACAAAAAGAGGCCGGACAATGGGTGTTCAGAAATGCTCAAAGGAGCCGTTAGGTCTGATAAGCTAAAAATTAATTTAGTAAATACCTGTATGAAATATTGAATTTGGCAAAGTAATTTTACCAAACATTAATGTTCCAAAATTGCCTTTGTAGCACGCATGTATAAAAAAAATGTTAGTGCTGAAGCTTGTATAGTTTTTTTTTCTTGGTAGTTGGCACATGCTCTCATAAAAAACCTTGTTACCCCGGATACTGCAACGGAGCTTCTAACACATGCCACTGTACCAACAACTTCCACCCGGAGACATCTGTAGGCAAGGGAGACTGTTTAAATTGTACGTATATTAAAGAACTTTATTTTTTTCTTAATTTTGGTTTTTCCTTGACTTCAAATTGCACTCCTATCATTATTTTGGATCTCCTGAACCCGGTAAGATTCTTACATTAGTTTCAGGCCACACAGTCAATATGTCACACCAGAACAAGCTTTCGCAGGGGAAAGTCGAATATATTTTACAAAGCTTATTATTTCCTATTTGATGTGAATATGCCATCTCAATTTTTGACATAAGACGTAAATATCCAAGCTATCCCAAAAATATTTTAAAATTACCATGTCTTACTTTAACAGTTCCCAACAGCCCAGACGCTTACAGACCATCAATCGAACAAAGTACAATAGACTTTGGTTATTACAGCCAGACGATGAAAATGCTTATCTTCAACATGACGATTGATTCAGCTATGAGTGATGGCAATAAGGAGATTTTCTGGACTAATCGTGAAAAACTGAACATCATGAATTTTACTTTTCAATCCATTTCAAACTTTGAAATTCTGAACCTGCCTACGAGACCTAGTTATATAATTCAACATGAACTTGGAATCGTAGAAGCAGACATTATTTTTATCCATACGGCTCTTAATGGTCGGGGTAAAAAAACGTATTTCTTAATTAATATTTGTGCTGGAGAAGATTACAATCTGCGATATATGACTGATAATTAAATAAATTAAATATAAACTTAACTTTAATAATTCGTCCTCGTCTGAAAGTACTATTATATGTTGTCTGGTCACAAATCTTTTTCATGATTATTTTAATTTTCTTTTTTTTAGAAAAAGACAAAAGAGAGCTGGTGTGTGATGGGGTTAATAGAGATAAGCCATTCTATGACAAGCTGTTTCAATGTAAAACACGTATTGCTCCATTTGATTTAAGCATCGAATCTGGTGATACGTAAGTAAATCCATCTCACTGAAATGCCGTTATCACGTGTATTTCCTTCATCGTTAGTTATTTGGATGTAGAAGAGATTTATAGCATTTGTAGACTGTACAAATTGTGCTTAAAAGCAAAACTAGAGTGTTCCAAGGAACGCATGTGTCGCCTTTTTTTAGTTTCTTTAAAGATGTAACTAAATTTAAGAGAGGTCAGCTATTTATATTCTACTAGCATATGTTAGTATTTCATGCAAAAAAATCTAGCATGATATTTCATATAGTCGAAATGCTAAAAAAAAAACCATCCACACATAGCATAAGACCACAATAGAGTATGAAAAAAAACATCAACACCTAGTATAAGACCACAATAGAGTTAGAAACCAAACTAAATATGGTTCCCAACCCTCAAATGAATAATTAAGTTAAAATCATTATAAACCATTTTACATATATTTAAAGTACGTGTTTCAAAGTTTTTACACCAAATTGTCTTTATACACGATCTGTTGTGGGAGCCCTATCACGCTGTGCTTTGTTAATATTTAAATATCAGTTTATGTATTACTGAATATCACACAGTTGCAAAGAACAGTATTATGAGCTCGTAAACTTAAACTCGCCACTCAAAATTCAATAGTATTAAGTTAAATTAAATTTCCTGGGGTATTCTTTGTGAAGTATGTCAAAGGTCAAGACCGGGTGAATTTAAATGATGGTATTTTTCATAATTTTTATTCCAATCAGTAAAAATGCTACATAGCATATAATCACCGATTAAATGTCAAAATTATATCGGATATTGGCAGTTTTAACATTTCAGTAAAGTAGGTCAAAGGACCAGGTCAAGGGTCACGAGGTTGGTATTAACGACAATTACAAAGCCATAGTGCCAAGCAATAAATGTGCAAAATATCAAGTCCATATCTCTTAAAGAGTTCTTCAGAAACAAGATGTGACAGACGTAAAGCTATAGACAGATAGACAAACGGACGGACGGACAGATAAATAGACGCCGGGTAAAGCGACCCTTAGCGTCGCTTTGCTCCGCAGGCGACACAATAATCTGACCTATTAAGTGGGATCATGAATTATGACTCCAATAGTGTAAAAAACAAAACCAGACTATTGCAATGTACATACATGTAATTTAGTAGGGAAATTTGTCTGGCTCAAATATAAGAAGTTGTAGCAGAAATGAATACCCTTCCGCCAAAACAACAATACTAGAATTAGTTGTTGTTTTGTCTGCTATTTCAGGCTAATTTGATTATTATGCAACACGTATGAAATTCTGAAGTGATAAAAATCGTGATTTAAGACATTTATGGTTACTTCGATATTAACCTAAATGCGCCATTATCCTACGATACTTTGGATTTTTTTAAAGATATCCTCTTTGGATTCTGAAGCCTGTCTATAAATCTATGGATTTCACTAACGTAAAATAAAAGCCGAGACCAGAATTTCTTGATAATGCTTTTTTGGCTATGAAATCCGTCTTTGAAATCTAAGTGTTTTCGATGCGAAGAGCTATCAAAGACGCGGGCAGAATTTCATTGAAATGCTTTTAAGTTCTTAAGGTATACCTTTACTCAGATGACTAAAAATTCCACTGATAAGAACAAAAAACCACCTATTGCATGTTGTACACCTATGATTCTTGTGTTAAATTTCAATTTCAAATAAGTAGGTCAATGACCTCGTTTTCATGCTAGGGGCCCCTGAGTATTTCTCGGGAAATACCTCAATTTTTCACACTATGACCATTTTTTTCTTCACTCCCAAAATATTACAAGCAACAAAACTATTTAAATAATGAAATATTATAGCAATGGAACAGAGTTGCTCCATATAAAGAAATAAGTAGAGTTTGGGCCATAAACGTGATAATTATTACAGTCCGAATTTCCTCTGTCATATTTATATTTTTTCCCTATTTTTAATCAAATATTGCAAAAATCTGACTGATAAGAACTCTAAATTATTTAAAGCCTCATGTTACTTTTGTTACCCTCATTCTCATGGTATTAATATTATATGGGGTCAATGATCATATTATCGAGATATGTTGACTGCAGTGGTTTTTGTACATGTTTTTGAATTTCTTTATTTCATAGCATTCATTTATTTGAAATATTTTATGAGCTGAAACACATATAAAATTTGCAAAAAGATGTCTTAAAATACATGTAACCTTTACTTTGTGATTAATATCGCAAGAAATAAAAATTTTGACAAAAATGAAAAAAATCAAAAATTTAGTCCGAATTTCCTCTGCATAGCCATACATTGAGTTTTGTTCCTGTATATTTTCTTCAAGTACTTACATATTAAATTTTTAAATTGATATTGAGATAAAACTTAGTTATTTTATCCATTTAGAACAATTTTTGATTTAATATATTATACTTTATAAAATTTCCTCTCTGATTTCTGAAACCTGAGTAAACGTCATCCTTAAGTCCCTCTTTTGAAGTCTAAGGATTTCAATCCGAATTGTTTTTCACTTAACGTAAGCTGAGACCAGATTCCTGGCTTACAAAGAATCATGGCAAGATGTTACTAAGGGACTTGTTACGTAATTTGACGTTATTGTCCTAAATTTCTTCCAAACAATTTCGCTGATCGCTAGATCAAAGAAGCCTTAGAAAATATGTGTATCATTCTAAAATAACCAAAATAAAAAAAGAAATGGCTGTTTGTTTTATATAGAACATGTAATGACTTTGTTTTAAAAATTCTAAACAAATATTCAAAGCAAGCAAACAAAAGAGTTAATGGAAGTTCCGGATCCATTTCATATTTTTATTTCCAGATTTGCCGTCACCTATAGGGCAAAAAATGGAGGATATCGACGTCTAGCAATTAGTGGAGAAAAACAATATTTCATTGGCAATGAAGTGAGAAAAATGATAGATGTAAAATTTGACAGAGATTATCCCTATCACTGTACTGAGAAGAATGATTGTACATCATCAGACATGCTCAAGGTTACTAATGAAATCACAAAGGTAAATCTAAAAATATAAAAAAAAATATATACATGTAATGTAAAATTAAGAAAGTTGTGGAAAGCTATGCATGAAATTACTGTAAAGCTTCTGGGGATTTGAAATCTGCAAACAATTCACAATATTTTTCACTACAGACCGCTATCCGGTTTACTTGGAATGGATGGAGGGACGATTTATCAAAGGTTGCTCGATACGCTCTAGAGGTTTTCAAACTGGAACCAGATGGAACAGGAGCCCTCAAAGAGCCGTACACAGATACAGTTGATAATCCTGTACCTCTAAACATTACTGAATTCAACGAGACCACTTCAGGAGTCCATACATTTTCCTATAGACCAGACAAACCAGGCGTTTATTCTTGGATTTTGGAAGTGAATGACAAAGCCAATAACTCGGTGTATGTTAGGCGTATTGTTATTTATGATCCAGTTTCAACTGTGACGACAGACAGCTCCAAGAGACTGTATGCGTCCTCTGGAAATCCGAATGCATCCTTTGAATGGCAAACTCAAAATCCTTTGACAGCAAAGATCACTTGGAAAGGACACTTTTTAAATTCTTTGCATGAAAATGAAAAGTTTTTGAATCGTGTCAAGCATTTTCCTGATTCTCTTTATGACGGGGGTTCTCGTAATGGCTACAAAAAAATCCCACCGGAATATGACGACTACAATGGTGAGAGGACAATAAACGCTATACCGAATGAACGAGGAATTGTTAGATACGACGTGGCTTACTACAATGGAAAAGACCAACAAGTGGCACCTTCTTATCGGGATCAAAATCTTAAATTCAATGAAACGGAACAAACTATCGCTTTAGATTCAGCTTTAGAAGATGGCAGATCATTAAGCGTTTGGGTTAAAGCGTATGATGTACTTGGTAACGCAAACGAAGAGCGTCTGGTTCTACATTACGATTCTTCCAAACCTTTAGTGCAATCACTAGAATTGAAAAGAAATGTGGGGACAGATAAAATGGATTATAGAAGCAGGCAAGATTTAAGAAAGGATACCTTTTGAAATCATAAAAAAATAATGTTTTTAAGATGTTTTTAATTATCAATTTGTAAATATGGTTTTCTCAAGAATTTTTTTTTCAGAATACACGTTGTTGGAGCCACTGATCCTCATAGTGGAGTTAAGACCATCAAATACCGATTCATTGCAAAAAGTACAGGAAAGATAATAAATAATAAAGAATATGAATATGAAAATCCAAAAAGAGTAAGATTTTTTGATTCATCGATTGAAAAGTCTTAGACAGCATCATAATACATATATATAATTTCAGCAATTTAACGTCATATTTGGGAGTGGGGATCTAGAGAATGTTCTGTTATATCTTTTAAAGAAATGTAAATTCTTTGCACCTACTGCTATTCTTTAACCCCCCCCCCCCCTCCCAAAAAAAATTAAAGACTTAATTTTTATTTTTTTTCTTGTACAATGATTTTTTTTTTATTTTTACATAAGCCTTACGTTTGATTTACTTTGGTAGAGTTTTGCCAAATTCAGCTTTGACAATATCTTTGAACGGGTAATGGAATAATTGTAATAAAGGGTGTTTCAGAAAACACGCAACCAATTACATGTACCCCCTTACTTTGTTGATATGTAAAGAGAAACTCATTAAAATTTCATACCCATTTATACTGAAAAGACATAATTTTATTGATAGCAAATATTAGAAATGAACATAAATTGAATTACTTAATGTGTTAGGTTATATTTCATATTTTAAAAACAAAAAAAAAATGCCAACGAACTAGAAACATCTTAAAATAATTAGCAAATGCATCAAAGCACATGACAGTATCATGCTAGTAGGACAATAAAACAGATATTGACTAAAATAAGTAATTTAACAAAGAGAGATAACAGAATAAACGATTTTGGTTAATTATTATAATCAAAGGCTGACCTTAGCACAAATGAAAAGGGAATCGTTGACCTAGCCCTTTTTTCTTTAAGACTTTAAAAATGGATTGCGTCAATACTTAAAAATCAAATTCTAAAGAAAAAAGGGACTAGTAGAATAAAACATTATGATTAATTACTATAAACAAAGGCCGTTCTTAGCACAAATTATAGGAAGTTATTGATCTGGCCGGAAGACTCGAAAGAATGAGTTCATTATGAAATATATCTGGATTTATTACACAAGAAATTTTACTTTAAAAATGTATGTGGAAAATGCATGGTTTCAGCAAACTGAGACACAAATCATACCTCACAGTGTGTTCTGGACTGAATGGCAGAGGATGGCACGAACACCACCTTCTTCAAACCCAAACGTTTGCTTTGACCCTCATCTTCTGATTTAAAATTCTTTATTATTTTTAGGACAATTCAAGGCCAAAGGTTATAATTTTCAAGGACATTGCACGACATAATTCTTTGTAATTCATTTTGTGTTTTGGGGAACTGTTTTAATTTTTTGTTGAATTCTTGAAATTATACCTTTCAAAATGATTGGCCGTTGGTTGAAATTGATTCAGATATACTTTTGTTTGAAATAGTTGTATGTTTTTGCACGACCCTGCATTTCCTTTGACCATGCATTCTCTAAAGTAAAGTTTAATTTTTTTGGACATTTTAATATTGGTCTTGATTTCTATAACATGATACATGATATGCTAGGCATTACTTTGATGATCACTTGGGTACCAACTATAAAAAACTTTTCTTTTGAATTTAGAGTTTTATTTTCCTTTGAAGAAAGAAGGATATAGAGATAACGAAAAGTATTCAATATCAAAGTCCATAAAACAATACAAAATAGGAGCAGAGAAGAAACATAAATAAATCTACAAAGAAACATTAATAAATCATCAAATTCTTTAATGAGATGAGAGGTATATACCTTGAATGTTTAACTACATTGAAGTACTATCAGGCTTGGCCTCTAAATATCGACTTTGGAGGATGTCGTACTTTGAATATATCCTGTAACATCTACCATGATTTTGAATGGGCTTTACATTTTTTGAGAATAGTGTTTCCTTAGTTTTCCTAGTGTACCCACAATTATTATTTCTTAATTTTGGGAATTACTTCGAACAGAGAAGCTTAAATTTTTTCAATGGACTGCATGCTGGGGCATCAGTTTCACAAACATATTCTGTTTCTTAAAGGACTCAATCTACTGCAACGAACATCCTTGTGACACAAATTTACCGACTGGTGAGTCATTCGGCAAGACTATTGACCTTGACTTTGAGAACTGCTATGCCATGAACGTGAGTGACGTTTCTACCGAGGTAGTTAGAATGGAGATGGATTTTTATAATTCAGCAGGGCTCTACGCTACTGAACAAATAGAGGTAACTTTCATTTTTATCTTTGTTACCAACTGTATTATTTAAATTATTGTGTAAATTTTAAAGCTTAAACAATATGACATAGAAAATTCCAGTTTTAAATTTGAAACTTAAAATACTGCATTGTAAACTTTGTTTTCAAATTTTTAAGTGCAATTTCGTAACAACTGATGAAATAACAATGCGTGATTTTTTTATTTTTTTTTTTTTGGTGGTTAGATAAACACTTTGAATAACAATGTTGTAGCAACGTTTGAAATAACCATTCCTTATATTTTCCAGATAGTCAATCTCACGTCACTTAAAGGTGTCAATGATTGTAAGTAGAAAATAAAAGAAAATCATGTTTTATGACAATTTTATCAGGATTCCAATATATCTTAACGTTTGTTTTCTTTTTTATACTGATAAATATTTTTTCATAGATTTTGGGCCAACAGATATAAGAGTCGCAGAAACATTAAGTGCAAGTTCGGTGAAAATCATGTGGAACCAGGCACCGAGTTGTTATAATCAACAGGGCATCGATTTTACCTATAGAAAAGGTTTCTGTTCTTATTACTATCTGGCATAAATTTCGGTATGAGTGGTATGGATTGTTTGTTTTGATAAATTTGACAGTATTAAGGCGAAAACAAAATGTTTATTTTAGCTCATAGCAGTGATGAAAAGGTGTTTCCAGTTCACAAGGCCTCAAATTGGTTCACAATGGTTAACCTGGACCCAGGAAGCACCTATATTCTCCGGTTGTATACGCTGTATGGTGACGATGAGAGAAACCCTATCAAAAGTGAAGTCTCAGAATTCAACTTTACGACAAGTAAGTGAAAGGGATTTTGTTAAAAAGTAAAACCGAAATTGTTTAAATGTTTTCAGTTATTTCATACACCAGGACTTGCATAAAATTCCAAAAATTTTCTAAAGTATATACTTCATTTTCTTAAGGATATCCTTTGCTATGTACATGTAACATGCTCAATTTCCTTTACATTAACATTCTAAGCATATGCTGAGTGATCTTCTGCATGATGCAATCTTAAATATGTAAGACTCTAAAGTGCGATGGTGACGCCAAAGTCCGATGGTCTCGCCAAACCCCGATGGCCTGCGCCAAACCCCGATGGCTCGCTGTCTTTGCGGACCCCAAAGTCCGATGGTCACGCCAAAGTCCGATGGCTCATTTCCTATGAGACGCGCGACGCTAAAATGCGATGGTCTGACACGCCAAAGTCCGATGGTGTGAAGGAACAATCAACGTTTATGACGTCACAATAGTCCGACGTCATGACGTTGCCCTGCATTCAAAATCCATTGATTTAGTATTTGTCCCGCTTACAATTTTACTGATTTTGTTTATTGTTTTCATCCACAAGAGCTATTAGAGTTAGTCCTTGAACAATATTCCACTGATTGGGTTAGTTCTTGAACACCAATGTGTTCCTTCGAACTCACCCAAGAGATTTTATGGTTAGTCCTCGCACACTATTGGACTGATTTGGATTAGTCCTGCACCCATCCAAGATACCTAGCTTATGGTTGTGACACATTTTTCGACTGATAAGTGTTAGTCTCGCACCAATATCCAAAAGATTAGGGTTAGTCTTTGCATTTAATATTTATTTGTATTTATTTTAAACAATCGGGCCTTGGCATGGCGCGGCAACGCATCTTTGCGCAGTAGTACTATGACGTCATAAACGTTAATTGTTTTCTGCACCA